ATGGGACCGAAACTGGATATGCAGGATCCTTATTACAATTCTTTCTTGTATCGCCTCCATTTCTTTACTACCAAAGCTATTACTATCGCCCGCAGTATGTCGTCTGGGTGACAGACAAGGTCAAAATAGTGTCAAACATTCTGCTTCACCTCTTTCATTATGGGACAAGATTGTGGAGTATTCAGCACTCTTTTGTCGTACAATCTTCTCAAAACGGCAATGATATGACCAATTTCTTATATCTGAACCGTTACAGTCGTCTCAATTTTTTTCATTCCATCCAACCTGACTTTTTGGAAAATTGGACAATGTCTTGGATTACCATCAATTGTCTGAAATCACAAGAAACACAATGTTTTGAACGTTTGGTTCACAATACGAAAATATATTCCAAGCTCAACATGTATTTTTGGAGGTATGGACCATTCACTGTTTCTAAAGGGTCTGACAGTGCAGTTCCTGATTTTAGAGGAAATCACAGCAAATTATTTGCAAATAGTTATCCCGCAGATTTTCATAATCTTGCAAAAGATGTCAACCAATTTGACGAGTTTATTGGATACGTTCTCTTTGAGAAAAGTTTGTACGGCTTTAACACTTCGGTTGAGATTGACCAGAAGAAGGAAAGATTTTACGTTTTTAACAAAATTCAACCACTTTCATTTTCCACTTACATCGGAGATGTAATTATTGTCAAAAAAATATCAAAAAGTTTTTTATCCTGTTATGGTTCTGCAACAGTCACTTTTCTCGAGCAATATGCAACCCCATTAGATTACATTTCTTGGATTTCTTGCTTAACAGTGTTTGGCATGATCACCACAATTTTGTGGGTATTTCATCCAGGTTATGAGAGGATCCATGAGAAATATTTCATAGTTATCACTTTGCTCGCCCCACTTTTGGATACATATGTTCCTGATTATAAATTTTCTTCGAAAACTGACCCCCAAAAATGTGTTCATGATGACCGAGGTCGGATTACATATTCAGTTTTGAAATGCCTCGCATTAGCTTGGTTACTTTTTACGATCGTTTTAACAACTGGGTACAAAAGTGCGTTTACTTCATCAATTTTGGTCCCGTTGAAGAGTTCTGCTAGCTGGAAACAGATTTACGATGTAAACTGGAGTAAAATTTATTCCCTAATTGCAGAATCTGTAGAAACTTTGACAGCGTATAATAATGGGAGCGGATTAGGTTTGTTTTATTATTATTTCCTTCTCGAAAGAACGCAAGGATATGCAGGACAATTGAAAAAGTTGTCACAATTCCAAAAACTTGTTGAAACATTGTGGCAAGATTTGATAGTGATTATGGGCATGGATAAGCCCAACGAGCATAATGAAGATCCGATTTTTAAGCCACTTAGCTATCGATTTCCTGCCCATTTATTGGGAAATTTGAGCGTTTGCAATGAAAAGGTGGCGTACTTGGATGACAGTGATAACATTAGGGAAATCTTAAAATTTATGAATAATAACAACGGAAATCGAGAATATTTCAAAGGAGGGGATGATTTCTTGGACGAAGACTTTGGTTTCGAAACTGCAGAGTTTTTTGACCAATCAAACTTTGTTGTAAAACAAATGAAAATTTTACTAAGTTCTGGAATTTATCGATATTGGGAAAATTGGTACGAGAGGAATAAACCAAATAAATTGTTCTCATCGTATTACAACCTGAGTACAAATTCTTCAGCACCAAAGAGCACGAATGGATCTAAGAGACTGCCGTTATCTGGAAAAATCACGACGATATTTTATACCTGCATGATTTTTGTGGTTATTGCAATCTCTGCATTTTTAATTGAACTTATACTTTAGTTCTCGATGTTGGAACATAAGGTACACAGAGTTTCAGATATCCAGGTTCTGTGTCTCAATAATTTTTAAGGGGAATATATCATGGCTTTCCAAGAAGAACATACAAATAGGTATTATGAATTACAGTAACTTATGATTTTATTTATATAACTTATTATGATAACTTTAGATATTAAATGCGTATATAATAAATATGTAGCCTGTTAAATTGATTTGACATTCAAAGTCAATTTAATCCATGATTTGGTTTTGAAATTTATATTTTAAATATGCCCGATAATATTTAACAAGAACGCCCTAGCTTCCCCCATTGATCTAAAAAAAACTATCAAAAAATTAAAATTTTTCAAATTTCCTGAAACATGTTTATTAGTACCAAAATCCAATTTAAATTGATGTGATTACGAGCAAAAAAAATATTGACAAAAATAAATTTCAATTTCACAATCAACAAATCGAATGTCTCAATTTGATTTGATTTGTCTGATATATGTCATAATCCAGTTATTTTTTATTCGACTTACAACGTCGTAATATTCTAAAACGGTTATATTCGTAAACTTACTTCGAACAAGCACTTCCATTAACGTCTAAAAAAATTATGGCTGTAAATTTAATAAAACCTCTCCAAACTCTCCAATACTTCTTCATAGAAAAGTACCCCTACTTTTATAAACCTTCAATGGAAATGAAATTCAACCCGGACCGAGATTCCGTCAGTTTCATAAAAGTCAAAAGATGGCTGGGACTGGAACCAGTTTGGACTTCGATTCCTATTTTTGGGGGAACAATTGCAGCCCTTGTTCTGATTCGGTCTTTACATGTCGTAAGATTAAAATGTGCCCATGTCAAGTGTCCTCTCCTTCCATTAAAAATAACGGCATGGTCCTGGATAACTTTATTAGTCTTGTGTGGAACTTACGCCTACTATTTGCTTTTCGTAAAATTTAACAGGGAATTTACAGTGGGTTTGGAGCAGTTGGGAAGTATGAGGAGCAAATTACTGGAAAAAGGTAATAAACAAAATATTAAATTCGCCTTGATTTTGTTAAAATTCGTAATGTGATATTTCTTATACATGCAGCATCAGCGAACAATAGAAGAAAGCGTAACAGGAAATCCAACGAGTCAAATATTATCGTAAATATTCTAGTATTTTGGATTTACGTGTCATACTTTCTAACTCCGTTCTCTGTCCTGATAATTATCATCGTAGAAATAGATCCTACCGTTCAATTTGTAGAAGAACTTTGGCATTACTTTCCCTTTTTGAAAATGTTAGCTCTAAAAATTGTTTTTGGGAGTGAACTAATGTTTTCTTTGGGAGTCGGTCTGGCTCGATACTTCACCGTATTGGGAGTAATTTATGAAATTGAGCGACTCGGGTTGTGGTTTGGAGCTTTGGGATTATACGCCGTGGACGGTTTCATACACGTATTTCGGATGAAACTTGGATTGATGATGAGGGAGATGGCGGAAACAAGTAATTCTCAAATTCGTTGGTATTCCAGTGTGCGAATTATGTTCCAAACTCCGGTACCATTGCTGGTGGATGTTGCTGGTCTTGGGTCACTAGCAGGTAAGGTAATTTTTTTAATGGAAAAAATGCAAAAACACATATATGCATTTATATTAAAAATATGTAGGTGGTTCCTCAGTTGTTGTTTGCACCTACATAATGATCCGTTTACACTCGTCTTTGCCATTCAATTTTTCTGCAATTGGATTTCCTCTTGGTTTCATCACAGCGGTTATCTGCACCAAAATGGGTGGCGAAATGGCCATCCACATTTATGATCTTTCACAACAGTATTTGGCACATGTGCGAAAAAAAGTTGAAAAGAAGAGGACTTTTGAAAACAAGATTGCAATCCTTTCCTTACGAGGAATGCATGAAATTTGTGTTCCTGTGGGAATCTTTGGACATAAATTTGCTAATGTGACGAAAACTTGTAAAACAGACATGTTTAGATTAATTTTAGATGTGACTTTGTACGTTTTGATGACTTTCTAGTAGTTGCTGGGATTAAAGTCTAGGCTCTACAAATACTTATGGTTGATAAACTCAAATAGACTCTTGGTTGGTATACAAGTACATATGCACATATGTATATGAATATTCAATACAGAATATTATTTGAGAATAAAACCATGTATGTATGTACATCTAACTAATCTTAAGGATATAGAGCCATGGAGTACAGTTATCCACAAAATAAAATAATATAAATACTGGTATGTCTAAAATCTTAATTGTCTCAATATCTTGAATGCATCGGTGTGCAAAATATTTAATTCTGAGTATATTATAGATCTTATTCCACGATTTAAGTAATTATCATGCACTTGTATTTGTATATTTCACTCTAAGTACCTGTATACAAATTGTAATTGGTCTGTTGAAAATCAGATGAATATACTGTAGACTAAAATTAAGCAAACAACCTCAATTGGACACTTGTCCATTATATGTATTTGCGCATTATTCTGGTACATGTAAATACAAAAAAGTATGTTGTACACAATGAATTCATACGAGTAATAATTTGACATTAAATTAGATAAAAATATATCGTAATTTGTGCTTTATACATACAGTGTATCAAACAATTGAGTGCACGTTGACGTTTTTTTAATTACGATATGATGCCGTGTACTTAGAGCTTCTATACTCCGCATGCATTTGTATAAACTCATAGTCGAATAATCGCCGATTTTTAAGGTCGCCGAAAGGTCAAGGGTCAGAATTATTTTAGCAATTAAAAAAAAGAGCCAAAAAATAAAACTCCATGGATAATTTTTTTTGGACTTTCTAATATTTTTTATTGGAAACCACAAAGCCTTACGAAGAAAATGAGCTATCGTACGACCGTGTACGATTTTTTTGCCGCCCATAGGAATTTTTCGCCAAAAATGGTTTTGAGGCCTAAAATCGTGACCGTGGCGAAATTCAAACAATTGAAATATACAAAACCATATAAACATTGAATATATGGTTAATATGGTTATATTATGGTTAATAATTGCTAAAATAATTCTGACCCTTGACCTTTCGGTGACCTTAAAAATCGGCGACGCGGAATTATTCGGCTATGAGTTTATACAAATGCATGCGGAGTATAGAAGCTCTAAGTACACGGCATCATATCGTAATTAAAAAAACGTCAACGTGCACTCAATTGTTTGATACACTGTAAGTTCAATACTCTTCAGTCACTCAAATTATTTTGCATACTGTATGCTGTACTTCAGTTACAAAACACAACCAACTCTTAATTTGTATCCGTAAAATAAGCAATAATGACCATGTCCAGACAATACACAAACATTAATCAATCAACATAATAACATATATACGTCTGTTCAGTACTTCGAGGTTATGCTTATCTTTTAACTCATTACGTGCATTTACAGATATTTACTCTTAATCACACCACATTTTTCAGCTGTTATCCTAATAATGAAGAACTAAGCAATTTATGTTCAGGTATTTATTCAATCATAAATAAATATAGCGTTGTTCTTGAACATTTTAAAGTTGATTTACAGAAATTATTTTCTTCAAAAATCAATGCAATTTGTCTATTTCATATACTCCTCGCACAACATTTACTACGCATGGATATATTTTTACACAGGAGGTGCACACCCTTAACAAATTAAGCATTACCAAACGGAACAACTAAAATCAGGGTAATTTTAAAACGATTTGAAATGGTTTTTAATTAGAAACTAAATTACTTAACCATATGTATTCTTGCATAGATGGTGGATAATCCCTTACTCTCCCTGCACGAGAATTATTTCAAACTTCATCGCCTAATAAATGATGACGCCGCGCAAAAATTTCGCGAGATTTTCGCGTCCCTCTGGCACGATGCTGGACGTTCGCCTTGGAAAAATGCGCCAAGTTTTGGGCATCAATTCGTTCAGACTATGGGTTCTGGACTTTACAAGAGGAGTCAAAAAATTCAGAGAAAATTTCTCGACTCAGGCAACATAAACATGTGGGATTTACTACTTCTTATGGATTCCATCAAAGCGATTCACGAATATACTAAAGCTATACATCCTCATCAAGGCGATTTTGAAAAGTTGAGAGAAATCCGCAACGAATTGTCACACCTGGGAAATACACAACTGGATGACCAAACTTTCCAAGCACATTGGACATCAGCCATACAAATCCTGTCCAAATATGGCTTGAAAGAAGACGACCTTAGCTCCACCACAATTAAACTTTCTGGATCAGAAGTGGAGAGCGGAATGCTGGCCAAGGTGATGCAGTTAAAAGACGAAGGAAACACTTGCTTCGGACAAGGAAATTTTTGGAAAGCCATCAAGCTGTACACTGAAGCAATTGAAGTGGAAAATATTGACTCCAAGAGTTTGTCCATCCTCTACTCGAACCGGTCGGCAGGTTTTTGTCAAGTAAAATTCTACTCGGAGGCCAAAACTGATGCGAAATGCTGTATTAACCTGCAACCTCAGTGGGGAAAGGGGTACTACAGGCTGGGATTGTGCTATGAGAAACTGAACAAATTTCAACAAGCTTTACTTAACTATGAGATTTCCCTCAAGTACGATCCAGCGTATCAAACATGTCTCTTCGCTAAAAACTATTGTATCCACATGATCGCTAAACAAAAACGCGAAGAACATTTGGACCCTACCAAACTCCCACCGACTGTTGCCGAGATGGAAGATCGGACATCGAGGCTTGGCTTTGGAAACATTCCATTTAGGAATGAAATGCAGAAGGCCCTATGCCGAGCTGGCGCTACAACTTTTATATGTCAAGAGGCTCATAAATACGCAAAAGGAGCAAAAGATTATCCTCAAAATTACAAAAAAGCAGCGAAGCTTTTTTCCAAAGCAGCAAGTCAAGGAAATGCAGAAGGAATGTACAATCTTGGTTTATTAACGGCCGAAGACTTGCATATCAGTTAACACTCAAAGCTGCAGAGCAACCCCGACTGATGGAGTACGTTCCTGGTTCGGGACTAAAGCTTAGGAAACTTGGCGTCGCTGAAGCACAGCACATGCTTGGTTTAACGTATCAAACTGGTGGGGTTGTGAGACGAAATTACAAACAGGTTAGGGAAGGAATTATTACAGTAATTAAATATTACACAGGATGCAATTTATTTAAATAAATCGTCAAGTTTTTACATTTTATGTATTTCGTTATATAATATGCCCAGAAAGTAACTGAACAGTTTTAAAACTCGTATAAAATTAAAAGTACTTGGTACAACCTAGAATGCAAAATTTATCTAGAATGCTTAAGGCTTTTACCAGTCAGTAAAGCCACTCATGGCTTTTCTGGCCCTTTTGTATCGGATTGAGCGAATTATTTTGGAATTATGAACGCTTTTCCCACTTTCTCCGCAACAGTTTTCAAAATTTTGTTCGAATTACTTTAAAACTTTTTTTCAACATTTTTCAACATGACTCCTGACCTCGATTAGAGTATTGTTATTCGGAGGCAAACCAAAACTTTCCAATCCCGCGAGATTGAGAGACATTTAGTGGCTTGATTTATTTAGGACCATTTTCAGCCTTTTTTTCCTCAAACTAGCTGGTGACAAGTTTGCATTCACACACGTTGATAAGTCCGACCAAAATAAAACATCTTCTGTTTTCTCTTGTTTATGTATGAAGGGTAATAACCATTTTTCTACAAACTCCTGCGGTTACACGTTGTGGTCATATACACCCCTGATTTGTGGGGTTCCAAAATATTCCCAAACTCATCCTTGGCTTGAAAAATTAAGCAGTTTTGGGAGATTTTGTTATTTTCTTTAATATCTGTTCATAATCCACTTCATTATGATTTAATGCATGGAAAAAGTTGCCTCTCGGAAATTGAGACGGGTCAAATGTGACCTTGTGACATCGTCAATGACCTGTAATTTCTACAAGCATTTTTTGTGCACTGTTCGAAAACCAGTTATTGTTAATTTTTCTTGATCCTCCACATAATTGGGAAATTTCAGGTTTGTGTGAGTAGTGAAACCTTGTTTACGGGGTTCAATTCGGAACACGGTAGAAGGATCAATTTCTATGCATAACTGTTGAGCAGAATTGCTAATGGATTTGGTAGCATGCATGATGAAAGTTGTACAAACCCAACGTACTCCTTTGGGGGGTGGGGATTTCACGGGGGTGTGGCCTAAAATGTGCTTAAATTTTATTTCAGCAGTTTTCTTATACTTTCTAATAATGTGGTAGATTGTGAATTGTGACGCCCTTTCAGCAATCAAATTGTCCTGTATTTTTTTTAATTCGCCCAGACACACTTTTGTGTCGGTGAAAAACGGAGAGTTCTCACTTTCACAACTCCGCATTTTGTTCATTGAAGCCCGATCGTGGTGACTTCGACTACCATCATTCGTCTTTCGAATGCCATAAATTTAAATTTTATATTTTCGCGGGTTCGGAATGTATCGTCCCATTTAAAATGGGCCATTTTGTACTGTTAAGTTACTTTTGGGACATGCCTTACTTACACTTGTTTGTATTTCAGGCTTGTGAGTGGTACATTAAAGCACTTCGAAATGGTAACGGATTTTCTGCAAACAACTTAGGTCTCCTTTTCTCCCAAGGAGAGGCCCTTCCAGATATTCCCGTCGATTTCGAGCGAGCCATCGGATATTTCAAAGTAGGATCTTTGCTAGGTTTGGTTCGTGCGATGGAGAGCCTTACCTTGCATTATTTTTATTTTGGATCACGTACCTTGGCGACAGTGTGGTATACGTATTGTCTAAAATATAACACCATGAACATAACTCTGCGTGAGCTTTTTTCGGGAATAAATGTGCTGAAGGGGTTTTCAGTCGAACAGTTTGAACACGAATTAGACCAAGAGTTGCAAAATTCCGCAATGAGGGAATTCGTGATGGTCAAAGATTATGACACTGATCCGAATGGTATCGAGAGGAAGAGAGAGCTCAGGTGCAAAATTCTAGGCTTATCGTACAAATCAGGGGGACTAGCTCCTATTTCGAAGTCGGATATCATTATCGAACATCGAACGAGTGTAAAACAAGCAAAGGAACAAATACCGAAAATAACTCTGTCTATAACAACTAATCCAGCAAAATTGTTTCCGGTGGCTTCCCCAAATCTCATTGGTCTTAAACCAATAGCTTTCAAAGATATGGACAAATCTGATAAGGATAAGATATATGAAGGATTTGCTATTAAAGTGAAAGTTGTTGAAGACGCAATTATAGGATTTATGACTTCAATTCATTTGATAGTTGAGGACGAAAATGGTATGTTATGCGTATTAACCCTAAGATATTACGATTTGCAAAATTAGATGATTTACAGATACTGGTGTGTGTGTATGTCTTTTGATATTAGTTTAAAGACTCATTGCGATTATACTGGTCAAAATCTAAAACGATTTTGAATTTTATCAATTCAGGTGACCTTGAACGTGTATATATCTACAATTATCCTCATGTTGACGCTTCTCATGATGAAATTGGGTATGGGTGCGCTTTCACTATTGTGAATCCATACCACAGATTAATGACCGATGGCAAATGGGCGATTCGTCTGGACGACCCTAATTTACTGATCAAACATCCTCAAATTCGTGATGTCGACAGGTGCCGCTATTGTGGCAAGGGTAAAAGTGAGCTAAAATGCAGACTTTGCAAAAGAGTTAGCTATTGTTCAAAGCTATGTCAAACAAAGGACCTCAAAGAATTGCAGCATGATCTGATATGTTTCAAAAAGATATAAAAGCATTACTTAATGTGATCGTCCATTACCTAAATATACTGCTTTTATGAGTGATCTGCTGAATAAGGAGAGACTTTTTATATACAAAATTAATAAAAATAATTTTTATCACCGCACTTTCAGTTGGACTTATTTCTGTTTGTATACGTTGTATGCACATTTATTGAATATCCATCGGGCTTGGCAAGTACCAAAATTTTGTAGCATTGTAGCTTTTGTGAATAACGTTTTGATTATTAATGCTTGTTCTTGGATAACAATTCAATCCACTTTTCTATCTCTTCTTAAATCCATACTTCTTTCTCTCGTAAAATAAGTCCGTTTTGGAACTTCCCAAGTTAACAATTTTCGGGCAGCCATCCCGCTACAAATTGTGAAATAAAAATAATTAAATTTAAGTTCATTGCATTAAAATCACAACCCATATCTGATTTCCTACAAATTGCAAAACTTACATCTTTCTCTAGAATAGTGCATTCCTTGCAGTAATACGCATCCGATATTCCTGGTCCTCCACAAATCACACAGCGCCCTTGATACGATCCGTAATTGCACTCGTCGCATATTCTCACCATGGTGCATGGCTTGACCAACGAGTCACAAATGACGCAATGTCCATCATGCTTCTCACAAAGACGTCCAATCGCTAATTTAAAATTTTCTTCATCATTAAACCTGGCCAGCAAACTTATCAATAATTGAAACAATCGTACCAACTCCGGGCTGCTTCCGACAGAAAACTAAATCTGGATGATGCCTTGCCATAGTCCCGAGTCAAAATCTGCAATTGAAATGTAAACTAATATTTGTCTAGTAAATTTCTCAATTTAACTTAAAAATTAATAGTTTCCATCATAAATGACACAATTATACTATCAGTAAATGTCAAATCCATTAGAAATGGCGAAACCTTTGAAAAATTTGCAATTTTGCCGTTCAGAGCAGTTACTTTATCCATTGTCGTTGATACTGCTGGGTGTAGATTTACAAACCTGTTTTGAAAAGCATCTTGTCAAATATCTTCTCTGTTAGTTACTTCTCACTAACAACACCTTACCTTGGGTCCCCATTTATATAAAGTATCACCCCCATCACCCCGACCTATAAAGGAGAACACACCCAAAGAACAACTATTACCAATCAAATCAATAACACAGATATGTAATGTACATACATAAATGGTGCATATGTAAAATATACAAAACCAAACCCATTCCGTTTTATTATTTACATTAGTTTTTAAAGTATTTGTGATTTTACTTACTTTCTTAATTTCTGTGACCTTTTGGCTTGATATGAAATTAAATCTGGTAGTGGTATGAAACAATGGAAAAATATTAAGAATGCAATGCAAATCCTTGCTTGATGAATGCAAACGTTTTATGCTCACTAACATATTTGTATTTCGGGCTGGTGCGGGGAATCCTTTACCTTTCCTGTATGCAAAAGTAAGCAATCAATTTGATGTAAGTGATAAAACCATATACTTGAATATTTTTTATCATGGACAAGTGCTGTACCGCAGTAATAAATATTGGGCTGGAATTTATTGTCAAGAATGGATAACTTCCATCTACACATATACTTTCATACATAAATTAATTGGGCCCTAACAAGAGCTGATTGTGAGATTTAAATCTTAAACTGTCGAAGACCCATCTCTCCACGGAATATCTTTGTCATTATTCAACAGAACTTATCAAGATTTTCAGAATGGATTCTTAAATAGATTAGCCAGATTTTGGCGAACTGCATGATGATCCCAGGTCAAATTATGTAAGTTTAATCATGCGTCATTCGCTCTTTGTGTGAAAGGATGTCGCCACGCGTAGCTGCGAGTGGATTAAATAATTCTAACGCAAGTTGAAGGGAATTATGAGGACAGAAGTAGTGTCTCCAACGTACCACAGGTTCAGGGGGTGTGGTTCTTGCGCCTAAATTAAGCCTAATATAGACTATCTAGCATGCAATATGTCTTTTTTCAACCAAAAGAACCCCAATGAAATATTCGAAATTTAAAACCACACCCTCAATGGGTGTGGTTCTTGGCCGCTAAATTAAGTTTCATAAATTCATGGCATAGCATATTTAATTGTACTGACAAAGTATAAATCGGATTAGAAACATTCGTAAAGTTAAATAGCATGCTTCTGGGCACACCCCCTAAAGATTTTGTTTCACAGTTTTTAATATCCTGAACCGTTCATCTAATTCCGATAGAAAAAAGATAGATTATATGGTTGATAGTCTTTATTAAGCTTAATTTAGGCGCCGAGAACCACACCCCCTGAGGGAGTGAATTTTTAATTTATCCCGTTTTTAGAATTTCCTTATGGGACTGATAAAAAGATAGGTTACCAGCCAGGTCTTTTTTAAGTTTAAAATAGGCGCAAGAACCACACCCCCTGAACCTGTGGTTTTTAAATTTCAAACGTTTTCGCAGCACTAGCCTCATCTGCCAAAAACTTTCATATTACAGCTCATAGTATGATTTGCATAATTAATAAACTCCGTATAATTTTGGAATTGCAGTTAGGTCTTTTTCCCCGTTTTTCTTGTGCACTTAGGTGGATTTAGAATTAACTATTGACTGCACTTAGGTGGATTTAGAATTAACTACTTACTGCACATAGGTGGATTTGGAATTAAGAAGCGAATGCACTTACGTGGTTTTAGAGTTAGTCCGACGATATGTCATATGTAGGGTTACACGTATACCACCATACTTAACGAAACGGAATATAAATCCTATGCTGACAAATTTGATCCCGTTTCCTCTTTTTGAATTAAATTACAACTTTTAGTTAAACGTACATGAGATAAATAATAATACGTACTTTTTCATTAATAATTTAGAAGTGTGTATCTGTATATATGTACAAGAAATTTAAAGCAATCTACCACTGATTTACCAAACTCGGATGAAAGACGGCTAGTTTATTCCAAACCTATAAGGATTTGGATAACTCAATACGAATTTTCTCAATTTTTATTTACCCAAGGTTTTTATATGTAGGTCTGGTTTATGCTTTGAAAGAAAGGAAATCAAACTAACATATTAATAAACTTTTCTCCAATTTCACCGCCTGCAACACGTCCACCACTTTTTAAGTACTAGAACGATTGCACAGCAAGAATAAATCTTGCCGAGAATTCTTGGTGATGAATGTCTCACGTTACTTTTACGCCCAAAACTTATTTTGACTGCTTCCACTGTTTTTTTCTCCCTTGAAAAATATAATATCCATTCATGTAGAGGAAAGTTACAGAAATTCTCGTTTTTACTTGTGATTACTACCCCTCTCGCCAATGGAAGGTATAACTTACCTTCAAGATTTACAACGATGCGTATAATAAAAACAGTATAAACAGTATTTATTTCATACTCACATACTTATGTACATACCCCACCCTCAAAGGTATATAAAATATACGCATTTAGTATATAAGCGGATACGTACATATGTGCAAAAATGTGAAATATACATATCACTTAACTAACAATAATTTTGATAATTTTTGGAAAAGTAAATACATGTCAAGTTGACAAATTGCTAAAACTTGCGCACTGAAAAGATCCTTATATGTTCAACCTTGTAAATTGTTTTAACCTGTTTACCTCTTATTTAATTTCCATGAATTTTTACTGCATTCAGCTATCTTTTCACAAACAGTTATTCCATTTCACAAGCTGCATAAGTGGAGATCATGATTCCAATTGCAGCAACGTAAATCTCCCTTTTAAAAATCTAAGTAAAAGACTTTCAGGAGAGATTTGCAACCTTTTCTTTCCTTAACCTAACAATCTCAAGCTGTATTAGTCAAAAAATAAAGTAAGTACGTTTTCCCCTTCATTTAACTCTGCTACAGGCTGTTGAACCAACATACAGTTTCCGTTTAGGTTGACCTTTCTCTTTGCTTTCTCTCACCCTTTACGCACTTTCTGACTTGGCTTGGCCCAGAACATAGCGAAATCTTTTATCAAGACATCTCGTTCTACCCCTTCCACCAAATAATGATAATAATTCCGATGAGATGATTAAGCATGGCTCATCTGGCGTCTCCTCCCAAAAGATTCCAGTTTAATAAAACGCCCTTCTTTATTTTTGTCTAGTTCTTACTTGATAATTTTTTAAAATTGAATTATCTCACACCGAAATCTCTCACAGTGATGGAGCAGCTCAGAATTCTGTGTGTGTGTGCACGTGCAAGTCTGCTTTCTCAAGTCGGAAATTCGGGGTAACATCATCACCCGCATGAAATTCGTCTTCAGTCTCGTTCTGAACGTCAGAGTGTTAACAACTCACACCATTTCGCCGAGTGAGATGAGTGAGCAAGAGAAGCACCATGGTGTCTACAATTTTACCCTTCTTAACCCGGTTTACAATTGAACACAAGTACCAAAAACTAGTTCATAATGTAAGTTTTCTTATGCTATAAACAGTTAAAATTTTGACTCCAAAAATGTCTAGTCTAATCTAGTAGAGTTATGCATTAAACAGTGCGAAAATATGTGAGACATGACTGGATTAAAAGTTTTACAAAAATGCATACTCAAATTGGATTCAAGTTTTTTTCTATGAAAATGCATATGCAAATTTTATACTAAACAGCATATCACCAAGTCTTGCGAAAGTGAAAGTTCAACGAAAATAATGAAGCTTCATGACTTATAAACAACTCTGTGGAAAGAGAAAGGTAAGAAATTTTGGTCACACTTTTGCCAAAAAACTTAACCTCCTTTGTAATACAAGGAGTTAATAAAAAGTCGCCAGCTTTTCATCCAGTTTTACAAAATTTCACTCTCTTTCGCCGTAAATTTCCTGAGTGGAGGATCTCCCGAGTGCGTGGCTTGGATAGTAAAACAGTGAACTTTGTGAGAAAGGAAGTCGTGAGAGTGAGTAGATTAACTACCTTCTTTAAACCGACATGAAACCTTGACTCGAGCACACACACACTCTTTCTCTCCTCTCTCCTCGCCAGCAATAAAACCCGTTATGGGCCAAACTACACGGGCAACTCGTGTGTAAAATGTTTTACGTTGTATTACAACCTAATAACACAACAATGCGTGCCCAATTACTAAGACGTTATGTTCTAAACACACTTGCGAGATAATAAAATATCTTGTCAATTTGCTAAATCAACGGAGAAAGCAATTTTGCTATTTTTGTAAACAAGCGCAGAAAATGGACTCCTTCATAATAAAAGTTTTTAATCAAGATCGGATTGACTTTTCTGATTGTCTACAGGAGAAGAGAGATGGATTGGAAAATAAAAATGGATGAGAACCCAGTCCCATCTTTTTTTCGGTGGGGGCATACGTTTCCTATTTTATGGCAGTGTCCGAGAGAACCAGAAGTTTATATTTACTTTGCAATAACTTTGAGATTTGGTTATTTACAAGCAGACCGGGATGAGAGAGAGAGAAAGAAAGGTTGGATTTTTTCGGGGGAAAGTCAATTCCTCTCGCAATCTTCTCTTTAAGGTGAATTGGTGTGCAGTCGGCGTTTTTACAACGAACACCACACCGCTGATTGGAAGAGTAGTTCATTGCTCAAAAATCTACCCCTACGCAAACACTACAAGTTGGAGTGCATACATGGGTAGGAAAAGTACTCGAGTTCCTCCTGCCGGGTTTTCGAGTGGGCGCAAGCAACCACTTTCTCCGCAGACCAACAACATCACACATACGCAATTGTACAAGAGTTTTAGATCCTACTTGAAATTGAACAAGCATTCACCTCACCTTCCGTGAACTTGGGACGGGCATTGCTTAACTTAACTTTTCTACTTTTCTGAGAAGTGAGAAATAATAAAATTACATAGATGATGATGATGACCCAGACGGTTGAGAGGGGGTCGTGAAGTATTATGGGGAGAAAAAATGCATTCAGTTATGGATGGTTTGATCCATATGTATGTCCGGTAATAAAGGATAAGAAAAGTTGGGTACGTTTCTTTTTCAGTCTGAAACTTTCGCACCGGTGGCGAGGCGACCAACCGTTTTAACTTAATTAAGCATTTTTATTAGCCGACACAGTTATGTAATCAGACTTGCAGCGATATTTTATGGAAATCAGATTGATTTGCGGTAGAAACTTTATGAGATTTTTTAAACCGTTTATCATCAGCTACATATATACAACAAATACATGAAGAAGAAAGAGAGAAGATACCGTTTTTACTGTCGTAATAAAAAAGATAAGCCAAAGTGTGAACTAAATTTTTCGCAATTTTTTAAAATATAGAAACCGTAGTTAGCAGAATACTGTATGAACCTTTATGCAACTGCATTTGAAACAAGTTAATGGTCAGCGATACCGTTTAATTACTTAACACGCGTCTTGTTCGCTTACTGCGGGAGAAACAATCAATGAGAAATTATCTATGTGGAGCAGTTTGCATTTCGATTTGGGTTTCTCTTATTCATATGTTTTTCAAAGTAACGCGAAGAAATTCATGTTTTTACTTATTTTTAATCTGAATGAAAGTGTTTAATAACCGTTCACTTTTCCTTAAATCAAGCTCGACCTCTAATTCTTATCTTAATTAAACAAATGGATACCCTCACACCACTTGACTAACATATACCTACCTGTGCTGCTCATGTATGTACGTATCTCACCTAAATCAAATCAGCTTATCCACCATTTTCTACAAAAAAATCCATCTCTTCCTCCCACCATTTCTCGCCCGTAGCCTCCCGTCGAAGCCACACTTTGAAACGAAAACTCAAAATTGAACAGTGACCATGACCATTTCACTACAATATAGATAAGCTCACCAGCCCAACTAGCACCTCCACCAAGAGCACCAAGCAGAGTAAATAATTCAACCCGCCAAGTAAATAATTCACAGGATGACTTCCTTTACTACGGAACTAGCACTGGTGGCAACGTGGAACTGCTCCTCCACATATTTCTGCTCCTTCTCTCCTGCTTAACTAACTGACAAAATTTTCCCCATATCTTATGATACACACCACGAGGCCCCTTCCTACCAACCTTTGCTCACCACTAAAAACTCTGCTGCGGTATCCGAACAGTAGTGAAAGTAATAAATTTTTCAAAATTATACTTCTTTTCGAGAGAACTAGACTCACAAGTTGTGTGATGATTGGAAAGGGAAAAGTTGAGAAAGTGGACGTTATAATGATTTTAGGGCAGCACACACATTGGGCTCGGTGTTGGGAAAGAAATTCAAGTACATACATACACACTTTCAACAGTTGTCACAACTCATCTCTATTTCATCCAAATTCCACAATTACATACACGCCCAAGTCCAATCCAATCGATGCTGACGACAAAATAAAATAACTTGTCGAAGCCGCCGGAACAAAACAGTTTTCCTCAGACGGGAAATATAAAGGAAATTTAATACTTGGTCAGAGTTCGTAGACACGCAGGCTGCTTGCACCACTTTTTACTCCAAAAACTCTCTCCCACTCATTCACTGTTGGTTAATATGCAACAGTTTTTATTGCCAGATATAATGGTGACTATTACAAGTGTTTCATGCCTCGCAATTTGCATTCATGTGTAAAAAATGGTGATAATTACTAGCGCTGGTGAGCATGCAAGGTGCAAATCGGTTAATACTTTCCCTTGGAAGGGTGGGGGTTATCATGCAGGATGTCGTGGTTAATTACAAAATCCGTTCGGTTTTCTTTCTCTGGGGCAATAAAACTTGATGTGAATGACCCATGTGAAACAATTTGTAAAACCGAATGCATACAACACCAAAGATAAGCAGATAAGACGAACACCACGCAGCCAATAATAAAAATAACAGACCGACATCAAACATTTTCTGGCAGAATTTACTACCGTAAAACACTTTACACCACACGGCACCACCCCACAATTCCCTTGCCGTAGAGTTATTATTGCTCGGATTTGATTTATGCCGTACAAATTGCAGGAATTAGTGGCAATTTGATTTTTTCCCCTTTCGGTAATTACATGGTGGAGGAGAAAGCGAGGAGTGAAAGTGTGGAACTCTTTATTTGCCTGGCATATACTCACACGCGGTTAGTTGGGTGAGGAAAAAATGGAAAATTACGAGGGTGGATGGATTCCTGCATGGATTTAGGATATTATTGACGTTTTTGTGTATATGTAAATTAAGGTACTCGTTGCTACGCGTAGGGAAAGTTGCCTTAGAGAAATTGAGTTTAAAGATTCAGATAGGAAATTGGATAAACTTTTACTTTTCAGGTATAAATTTTTTACAGCATTTTTTTACTCTTTTATAACCAACTACAATTCCAATCTCTAAATAAACAAGGAGACGAACCCACTATTTCAAAACGTGTGAACAAGTCAACCTCCCTCCGCTTTCTCCATAATTTCGTATTCTCGTCCAGCTCTGCAATCGCTCAAACGCTTCAATGCCCAAACTGCCCGATTCGATTTGTGTCTCCTCGTCCCGATTCCATTTCTTTCTTCGCTATCTCTCTCTCTTCATCTCCACACGGAAAATATGTCCCTTTGATTTACCGAAAGTAATAAACACACTCTAAGAAATTTTATCACCAGCGCGGTGGTCATATGTGACTCTACCGGCAGGTGGCAGAAGACCACCGGAGGGTGGATGCCCATCACCAGCTTAGTGATGATCAATCACCGTGCGGTGGTGCAGTTGTCACCGTTCGGTGGTTGCAGCTGTCACCATTCCGGTAGAGTCACATATGACTACCGCGCGGTGATAGTTATCACCAGGTTTCTTAGAGTGCAGTAAATTGAATCTTGTTCGCATTTTCCGTCTCCCTCGTCCAAATTACTTTGTGGAGGAGAGCCTGCTCCAAAATGGAATTGCAATTGTGGTCATTTAATTGCATTTAGAAAGAGGAAATCAAACGCAAGAATGGGTCGCTCTCATTTTATCGGAATATTGGACATTTGTCAAATCACAAATTGTAATTTATTTATTCTTACTGAGGCTAAATTTATTTGAGGCAGGGACGAGTACGAAAGTGTGCTAGCGACAGGTTGGATTTTTTTCTGTCAAAGTGATTGAACCAACAACAATGTTGACAACACAAGGTACACAATTTTTTCGGGGTGATAGGATTGCTGAATGCTTAGTCGATTCTTATTGAAATATTGGCTCAGGTATTATTTGTGCAGGAAAATGAAAATTTCTACTTTCTCCACATCCTCATTCATTCGTCTGGCAGTGTGAGAAAGGTGCCAGATTGATGGTATGTGTGCCAATAGAGTTCAGAAAATATAAATAATATACTTTTTCCTTCTCAAAAAGTCTGCCTGGACATGTGCAGAGTTTTGTTGTGAGTACATAAATTCATTCGTACCATAAAAAAATAACTAAGTAAGTAGATTAATGATATTGTGTTGATGCCCCTTCGTACTTATTTTTGGATAAAAAAAACTAGCACTATCGTACCACCCACGTATTCACGCATCCAAATCCATTGTTCCCCTCTCCCCGGGTGGTTCATGAAGTAGGTATTTAGTTTCCTGAAAAAAAATATTGTCCCAGTAGTATCATCATCCCTGAGGCTTGGTCATTTGAAACTTGTTTTTCTTTTCAACCCTCAAATTGCCCAACAATTTGGATTCTTTCTAGGCTGACCAATGAGAGAAATATTTTTTTTCTGGTTAATTGGGAAACAAGTATTGTCTGCATTGTTTGTCATACATACAAAAAAAACTTGGTAGCGTGTTGTGTCTTGTATAAAATTGGGTTTGCGTATAAGAAAATATTTGGACTTTGTTCAAATGTGGGTATCCGATTAAGTTGGTGGTTTCTGTTGGCACGCGATTATTTCTGGTGAGAACTGTAATATGTTGCATGCGTATTTTCGGTTTAACGTCCGTCCGCTTATTGTTAGATGGAGGCGTTCCGATTTATTAGTGGGATGAGGAGACGTTTTTAGACAGACGGAGACAAGCAATGTCACAAGGAGTGCACGAAAAAGGGGTATTTAATCGTATAATTGTGTATAATTGAGACTTTATTTGTAATATCGAGTCTTGTAAATTATCAATAATCCCATAATTAATGATGGTCAGCTTAATCTTGACTCCAAATTTTCATCGAATAGTATTCAAAAATTGACACAAATCTGATCTCGACTCATATTTATTTATATGCAAACTTTTTTCATTACATAATTTGAAATGCATATATGTAGATATGATGTTAAATATTGACTCCTAAGATGCTAGTCCACTTGTAACTCTACTGATAATTTGCAACAAATATAAACATTCAAAAAAAGTTGGCAACTTTCTCGACGAAGTTTTGTGAACCCTCCATTTTGACTTTATTTTACCTACAACAAAAAAATATTGCATTAGAGGCCAAAGTTTCTTTATGGCTTTCCCTTTCACTCTACCTGGCGATTGAGGTGCTGTGTAAAGAGTAGAAGAGTCCACAAAATGCAGATATTTCAAAGAAAAGCTCCAACCTGGTCAACAAATACGTATAAAGTGTACATACGTAGGAAGCAAAGCAATGTGACTGACGATCTCTTCGTGACAAAGAAAAGTACTTGAACCATGACGAAAGACGACGACGTAGTGAAAAGAACCAATCTCCTGGGACACAAGGGACGGAAGGCGACTTGTTTTTGACACAAGTTGACTCAAATTCTTTTTGGTCGTTACTCAATGTGACAAAATAACAGAAAAATAAATATTGGTGAAACTTTGTGGTTATACTTGTCAAGAGAAGAATTTAATAGTGATTTTTTTGTCATTTAAACAAATTTACCAGCAACCTGACGTAATCTGTCATCACAATAATTCATTATACTTTTGTTCTTCCATTCATTTCATCCATTTTCTATTCTGCTTTCACCACTTTCACCTCTGTGCAAATATTTCTTGAAATGTCCTGCACGGGAAGATTGAGTCTTATAAACCGGATCTGTAAAATAAATACAAGTGTCATCTTGCTCTCGGTCTAAAAATCCCCACTTGCTAAATTATCCTCACTTTGCACTCTCTTACTGCTTCACATTCCTTTGGTCTTCTTTACCATCTTGGCTGTCTGGTTTACCACTGCATCTTCTGAGCTAAAAGTCTTTTGAAGCCAATTAGCAGGGGCATCATTCTCTGCCATCATCAAAGAGAAGAGGGTCGTCTCGTCTCTGTTTGACTCGCCTCGTCCTCCGCCTCCTCTTTTTATCGTCTCCCGTGTACAAAGATCATACAGGATTTCGTCTTCCCAATTGACTCGGTCGCGATTCATGTTTGTCGTGGTAATGAAAAGGACAGGAAATTTAACACCTTGTAGCAAATTGTAATTATCCGACTCCTTCTAAAAATGTGGCAATGGCATTTAGCAAAATTTTTAATGACGCATTCTTGTTTTTAATTAAAACTGATTGATTGATAGGCTCAAAATTCCAATATGATTCACGTTATTTTAAATTTCTCAAGGATTCTTTAAATGCAGGTAAAATCAACTTTAATTAACTGTCCAATCATGGTGAAACATGTAGAAAGCTGTGTGTGCAATGCAGGTTTTAACGCTCAGCATGACAAAGTTATAAATAGCTCAAATATCTGGATACACATATAAACGCTTGGTTAATTTTAAACCTGACAATATGTACATATGTACGTTATCCTTAACCCTGTCATTCTGGTGCTGAGAGTTCTGCATATCCTACGGGAAAAGATTATCAAATGAGCATGGTACAAGTCGGTTTCGTTTATATTCCAACGCCAAGAACAGAATCCTGAATCTCTCGATGGGAAAAGTAAGAGCAAAAAATAAATAGGATTGCAATTACTGACGCGGAATCGTCGTGAGCGAGGACGCTTATATGAGTTGATTTTGCTCATTCCACTCAATTCTTTGCCTGTTTTTGAACCCATAACACTTCTATTACACAAAAACGTCTTTCTGCTATCGTTATTAAATTGAGCCAGTTACCAATTCTTCTGCACATGTGGTGTTGCCATGCTGAATACGTGTTATTAATTTATTTGGAGCATAAGACGGATTTTTCTCTGCAGATGAGTCCCTCATGTCAAGTGCATGTGCCTTTTAAGGATCTTTCTCCTCATTTTAATAATCAAATGTCACGAAAAGAATTCCATATTTGTGATACGAACAGATAAGGTTTCCAATTTGGCTTTTCTTTCATGTTTATTAAAGAAAAGTCAAAAACAAGCGTACATACATACATATCCGATATTCGCTGAATTGAAGGAAACACACCACGTGAAATCTCAGCACACAGACAAAATTGTCCAGCATAATTTTACCTCACCACTGTTCTACTTGCGCTTGGCATATCATATCATTTTTTTATAAACATTACAAAGAGAAATGAAAAGTGGGACGTGCTCGGGATGATTATTATGAAGATGCCCGTATCACGAGTAAAAATCGTCTCCCTGTGTGTATACCTAAATACGTACGTATGTATGTATCCGTATCTGGATGATCCCATCAAGGAAAAGGTCATAGAAAAAAACTCGGCTCATCCGAATACATAACCACAGCGAGTAATAAATAAAAAAGAGAATGGGAAAAGTTGATCATAATTTTGCACTTGAGTCAGAAGAGAAAGGAAGGAAATATCAAATATCATCATCATTGTGTTCAACCAGTCGCAAGGAATGCACCATCTTTTCATCTCTCTCTCTCTCCTTATATGGAGAAAGTTGGATATTGAATCCACGATTCATGCAAATTTCAATACTTTCCTATGAACTCATTTACATAAGGTTAATGTCAACCTCTTCTTGCACCTGCATCTACTCCAAGTGACTCCTACTTTAAAGTTTTCCCCTTATTTTTCCAACGTTAAGGGGAAAATCATGCCTGCGATTCGAAAACTCTGGGATCGAAGTGGAAAGGAATGGTCACAGTGGGAGAAGAGGGAAATAATTGAATAGTGTAGGATGATGGTCTCCCATTGTGGCCATTTATTCCTGAAAGACATGACCCTTCCTTATAGAAAAAAAACTAAAGCTTTAAAACGAATTCTCGCCACATGGACCTCAATCAATTTAAAAAAAACGGAGGGAAAATGTGGGTGGCGTGGTTGTTAGGTCGTGGTCGTGGTTTTAGTTGTTCAGTGACAATCCATCGTCATCATGAATGAGAGTGGTTGTCCTACCACTACTTTCACTCCATGTTCTGGTCTCTTCCTTAATCAATTTCCTTTGTTGGAGGGTGACGTTGACGAGAGGCTGGGCTGAGCTGCTGGTGAAATAGAGAAAGTCATCTTGTGGAGGAGAAAGTAAAAGATATTCTTTTTTCTCTTCTGTACCAACATTCATTCACTAAACGCAGCACATTCTCTTATTGAAAGATAAGATTTGAGAGGAATTTTGATTTTGGAAAAGTAAACTTAAAATTCAACAAGCGTATCGGTTCCATCATCAGCTTCGTTGGACAGGCTAATCATGATCCGCGAGGGTTGGATATTGCTAAAAAGGGATGAAAAGGATGCGGGTTTTTATTGCCAAGGGCTGGATTGTAGAATAAATGTGCGTATTTATTTTCAAGACAAACGGATCTCTCCAATTTTAATTACTAATCCTTTTCTCATTTTAAAATTCCAGATGACGACCACAAACTTAAAACTATTGGACCACATGGTGCTCGCGAGGAACAAATTTGTCTTCCTCCTGCTCCTCCTTTTCTCCTCTGGTGTCGGTGGTGGGGCATTATTTCAGCAAAACGAACTTCTCCCATCGTCCTCACTGGAGGCATCCGAATTCGGACTGATGCTTCCATCCGATAGATTTCTGAGCTGTCATTTCAACACTCTCTGCTACTGCAAGTACATCAAGCAGGTGGGGATTTTCGCATGGAAATTTTGCAATGTGTGGTGTACCCACCCATATAAAAATGAATTTGCCAATTATTTTACAGAACACTGAAGTCCACGACACCCTTGTCATCCTCTGGCATCAATCGTCCTTCAACGAGAGCATTTTCCTCAAAGCGATTATGAAGGAGTACAATTTCTCTCCGAAACAAAAGAGCGGTGGTCAAAAGCACGATTACAGCAACTACGTCCACCCGCAGTACTCGCCCGGCGGACAGGTGGACATTTATCAACTCATCGACAACATTGTCAATTCCTCGACGTCCAGCAATATCAAGTTTGATCCGGGACCCATCTTTGAATTTGTCTGTGTCAACGTTCCCCTCGCCGTTATCCCGACAGGTGAGTAGAAAGAAGTAAATATGTATTTTTCTTGTGACGCGGAGTGTGAGTTGTGGAAATGGCGTGTTCCGAGAAATTAGCTAATCTCCAATTACATAAATTGCGAAATTGCTTTGTGTGTCTGGAGGTGAGATGGGGAGAAGAAATGAGATTACTTACCCCACTGGGTGCGTGATAGTGAATCCGTGCAGTGTAGCAGATTTTGGAGATAATCAATAATATCTCATGACAAGTGTGGCAGGGTTGATTTCCGTGTTGTTATTTTTTATATGCGAGACATACATATCGTGCATAGCGACGTGTGTTAGTTTTCTGATCGTAATCAGATAGTAGTAAATCATCATTAGGGAAACAAACACGAACCTGCGAGAGCGAGGGGAATGGGCCGGCATGGAACATTTTTGGATATCATCATGTCATGAACCACTTTTTCTTGTCGAAGAATTGTACCGCTGGGAATACTCGTTTTTAAGCACTTTTTCATCTCCTTGTCTCCCACTCTGTGTGTTTCTACAAATAGAAAGAAATTTTCTCTTAATGAAACCGAGAGAAAGCACGGCAGGCAGGCGATGGAGAAAAAGTGATTAAATGGACATTACCCCAGTTTTTTGTGGGGGAAGGATGTTGCCGGAAAGTTTATAAATTCAGAATATAATTTAATTTTCGCTAAGAAATTTCATGGCGTAGTGTATCAAATTAAGGCGTTGTTTACATGCGTCGATTTAGTTTCAATGAAATTGCTTACTCTTAAAAAAATCAGCGATCGCAGAACTTTCAGATAGATGACTGCCCAAACTTGTAAAATGCAACTTCCTGACGAATTTTGTACTCTCTGAAGTAAAAAAAAGCATGTAGCTATCCAGTTGATGCACTTTGTCATATTATAAGCATCATGTATGTACAAACATGTTATGCAGTATTTCCTACCCTGTAAAAGACCTGGAAAACAGGATGGATCTATGTAAAAAACACCAGTCCAAATTGAAACCTATTTTAGAAAACATGTCACATGGACGTTTCCATACTCGTCATAATATTCGTCATGTTTTGTTTCGTGACACGAGAAGAAGATGAATTGTCGCATATAATGCAATTCCAAGTTCTACATCCTTATAAACATATGGTCGGTTTTCCTCTTTCAGATTACAACGCCCAAGGAATTTTATCCCACGTGACAGTGGCCGGATCCAAGCTGAGCATCCTGGACGGATCTGCATTCGCCGGACTTGAAATTCAAAATATTCAGTTGAACAAAAATGAGCTTTACTTCATTTCAGAGTACGCTTTTAGGTGAGCCGTTTGACAATCGTTTTAACATGACCAAGTTTTCATCATGTTTTCGAAATGAATGAAAGTTGGTCTGTAGCCATGTAGGTAAGCAGAAATTTAATCCATACACGCACTACATACAGTTCGGAGAGGAGTACGAGTCATGTAGGAGCACTAGTCAAGTGCAATCTTCTTTTTGCTACGTTACCCCGAATACGAGTCTTCCCTGGAGAAAGATTCCTGAAAGTCTGGCAGTATTCATGGCTGTACTCCTCCTCCATTACACATGTACCCACTTTCTCCTCATGGCGGATAAAGTATTAAAGTGCAGACAACAAATGTCGATTCCTCTTATCTCCCACCTCCCTCTCTTCCCCTACCAGTGAGAAAACTCACCTTTGCTCACACTAAGACCCCATTCTTGCCAATACAGGAGTTTTAAATTATTCCTGCAGTTGCTTTTTTCCCATAAAACGAGAAATGGAGACGGAGATGTGAGACACACTCACATTTATTCAATTTATCCACAAAAAACTGCAGCCACAACATATGTACGGACGTATACCTACATGCACTCATACATATGTAACCCTGCAGTTATGTAAGATAACCTGCAGAACCCAGTAAACGAGACGGTTCTTCCCTTACATATACTTAAAAACCAATAATACTAACATTTTCTGTTAATTGCTTGTTTAGCTCCATGAGCAATTCCTTAACCGTGTTGGATTTGTCGTCCAATTTCCTGGATGAAATTCCTTTCGCTGCCTTCAAATCACTCAAGTTACTGGAGTGGCTCAATCTCAGCAAGTAAGTCCTTTCATCTAATTTTCCGCGAGGAGATAAATAGTTCGCAAAGAACAGAGCCGGGTGAAATAGTGACGACGCGAACAATGGAAGCCAAGCACGTTCCGAGTCGAAATAAAGAAAAGCCCAGTGTTCTTCTTAGACGCCCAGTGTTTAATGTTCTTAGCGAGGAGTGGAAGCGATATAAATGTGTAGTAAGCTTCCCTGGGTGGTAAAAGTGATATGGCTCAGTTACTAATTACTTCTTCTTTGCTTCCACTTGCTCCACATATGGTTATGGTCACACTTGCGCCTTATACGTATTTAGCTATATGTGTGTGTGCATGCTCTTGCTGGGTGTCGGGATGGAAGCCGCTTTCACTTGGTTTCTCATAGTTGTCCTGTTTTTGTCCGAAAGTGGAGAAAAACTTAAAATGTCGTTTCCACTTGACGCACGAATTGTGAAGGAGGGACCACGTCCACGTATGTATGAAGATCCGACGCACTTTATCCAGCTTCTCTCAGACCTTCTTAACTTGATAACTTTGCAGGATTAGTGTTGTCGTGGACTCCTCGGTCGGAGAAAGTAGGCGGATGTGAGGGGACAGTGTTTATACATTCAAGACAGCACATCGCCAAAAGTATAGAGATCCGTGAGAAGCTACGTTTTGGTTTAAACATATACTACACGGACCGACATGCCATTCGTCTCATTTCACGTCACCCTGTCAACATCACATGTTCCTTATCTTCAGGACAGCCTCGCGTTCCGTCACTCTCAACTAATTACATTCTGCCAAACTCTCACGGAATATCAACAAATTAAGGGTGACACTTTGTTCAAATTTGGATGCACTGTTTGTTACAGGAAGGTGACAAATTGAGTGTGAAATTAAATAAATCTTTTTTATACGGAATGAAGGGAAAATGTGGGACGAATTCAATCATAAAACTTTACCGAGTAAATTTTCCCATTAACTTTTACTCTAGCAGAAGAAACTTTCACTTTCACTGCGAACAGTATTTAAAATTACTCGCTTAATTTTATGTAACAAATGTGTCGAATGAAAAACACAGGCTGGGTTATTGAGATTAGCTGTATTCAAATACATGTCTTATCAGAATTTAGTCCTAGAGGACACACATACCTACTGGATTTTCTATTATATTTGCTTAGACATGGTGAAAGCCTATCATACTTATTTGATTTAATTTTATTAAGTAGTGTTTCATGAGATTTATCCAAGTAGTGAATTAACCAGCGAGCTTATATTTGTAATGCATACTTTCGTTCATCATGCATACATACTTTCGCCTATAATCAATCCACAATCAAAACTAGAGTCATTTTCCCCTCGTCAAGCAATATGCCGACGGCTACGTATAACAGGACCAGAATCTTGTTATCCTGTCCTGAGAATGTAATCTGTTCGAAGGAACAGTACATTTTGATGAATGATTGTTTCACTATTTATGTACATACGACAAGGAAGTCAGATTTATGTACAAGAGAACACACACCATGAATTTTAGGCAGCACTCCATGTACAAACATGATTGACAGTTGTAGTTAGTTTAGTTTATTGCTTCCCAAACACACTTGCTCCCCTAAAAAATTGCCCCATGGTACATACAAAATAATCTACAATATCTACATGCCACATACATAAAGTATATGTACCAAAGTCGAAAATATAATGGTTCTAGTCTTATTTGCATACTGGATTCGTTAGGGAATGGAAGCAAGTGTTGAGTTTAGATTTCGAAATCAGCCAACACTCGGAGCGAGAGCGAGTTAGAATTACTGCTCTCTTCTTCACTGTTTGCTGATACAAAACCAAATGCAAGTCAAATATATGCTGATTGTAGAAGACTTATTCGTGGTGGGATTTGCACAAGGCAGGTGGTTCATTTTCTCCCTGTGTGATTTTCACACTGAGAAGTCCCCCTTCGAGGTATAATCAATCATATCTCCACCACATTCAGCAGTCATAATAATACAGTTATAAACTCACAAAGAGAGAGAACGAGAGATAGAGCAAAACTTTACTAAAAAGTTATCTCAGATTATCCCACATACATGGAAAATATTGCACATGCAAATTCTCCCCCACATTTCCAAGAATCACTACTGGATGGACTGGTTTTCACAAAAGACGAGAAAAAAAGTCGATAAGAAAAGCACAAAAGTTAAACAATCGTTTTCATTAGAGTTTAGTCTGATTTGAAAGACAAACAGGGACCCGTCGAGCTGGTGAAAGTTTCCATTCAACACCGCCTCACCTTGTAAACTTGGTTTGTCTTCTGGGCCCGACCGACGGTTGATTTCCATGAAATGTATTTCGGATGAAGTGTAGACAGACGAAGAACAAGAAGAACTCAAATGAACATGGACGGCAACTAAGTAAACTCGCAGAGCATGAAAAACTTCTCAAATCCTAACGAGCAATGAATTATTCATAACTCTCGGGCTAAATGAAGGCTTCTTCTTCTCTTCAAATATCGTGCAAAAAATGTTTAAATTACGTCATACACCATTTAGCTCGTACTTTATGAAGGATTACATACATATATTATTACACCCATTCTTGTGAGGAACGGGACTGATAGCGGATAAATAAATCGATGCGAAAAGGAGATTAATGGACAAGATTTAGTCAGGTTATGGTGCAGAGTGATGTTTGCGGCGGCGGTGGTGGTGGTGCGGGCAAAACCCACTCGGTACGTCTGAAAGGAGAAGAAAGAGGGGAATTAATTATCACACAATGGTTAGCTTAGCCTCAAAGATTAACATCCTCTCCTATACATACGTAACGCAAGTACGTATGGTACATGTGTATCAGGGAGTGATGTATCTTGGCGTGAGACGCGTAGAATTATCGTGGGTATTGATGAGCTTAGTGGTCGCAGATATAGATAAATAGTGGGAGGGGAAGGAATATTCCCATTCCGTTTTGTTACAAATGTTGCTTCAGTCGTGGAATAACTGCCGCGGGGACAATGGATGCAACCTGGCGTGGAAAATAATGGCTGCACTTTGGTCTCGGACTTTATCAGGAGGGAATGAATTGTGGGCGGAAGAATGGGCCGGGACAACGGATGCGGTTTGGCCTGCCGCCGTGTACACTTTCTCCGTCGTTGTGGCCGTGGTGTGGTCAATTGAAAGCTGGATTAGGTGCATCTCTCATTAAGACAAGAAATTCAATTACTTACTTATTCCATGCTGACTTTGGGGCTGGAACTTTCTGGCACAAAATACCACAAATTATGGCCAGACTGAGGGAAGGAGGAGGGCAATTTATCCTCTTAATTGACCCGTTACGTGTGCATGTTTAGGGCGAAGATGGGGTAAATATATTTATTTCTGTGTGTGCGTCTAGATAATTCTGATTTTGACGTATGAGATTATTATTGTTATTGGAGAGGGTCAAACTATTTTGGGCTGGTCATTACACGACTATATTTATATAATATTAATAATATCCATCTCACTTTTCAGGTAATAGCATTGTGTTTTTTTATATTTTTTGCAGTAACCGGATCCGCACGGTGGAAGGAGACTGGTTTGGTTTGACGATGTCTTTGCGCCAACTTACTCTGTCTGAAAACTCGATTGGGAACCTTCCTCAGAAATTATTTCATCCATTCCATCGCTTAATTTGGCTCGACCTCAGTTCCAATTTCATCCGAAATCTTAGCCAACACAATCTACCGCCGAATGTACAGGCAAGTTAACTGCTTGTTCTCTCTCTATTTTTTTACTTTCTCCGTCAGTATGTAACTACTTTCTCGCTAGTTAAGAGTTGGCAGATTGGCTAAATGGAGAGCCAATCAAAGTGTATGAATCAGGAAATATGCTTTGGTACGAAAAAAACGTGCAGATTATTTGTAAATCCGAACACGGATTTCGCCATGAATTATTATAAATAGTTTTACCCATTGTTCATGAAGTATCCCAAATAAGAGAGGGAGCCTACTACGTACAAATTGTTGGATGTTTCCATCCTTATAATATTTTTTTGGCCGGTTCGCTTAATCAATTCATACATGGTTGACCAGAAGTGGTTTTATCTCGTCTTCCGCCCAGTTGATTAGCGGAAGAACACTGAATCAGCGAATATACGGAGAAAGTAGAGAAATTGTATTATCCTTTTCCTTCACATACTCCAACCCACGCACACACGGCGTACAAATTTCGTGGTATCTCTCTCTTTATCTCCCTGGTGAAACAACAGATTCAATATCATATCAAATTAATCTGCTCTTTAATTAATCCAAGAGAGAGAAAACGAGAGAAAGTTGTTCTCATGATTCTGTGATTTTGATTAGTTTGCTGCGGAAGTTTCACTACTTTGTATTCCAATCCTATTTTCTTTGCACCCCACCGACTGCTCTCTTCACATTCATCAACTTTATAATTATCTGTGTGAAGTGGAGTGTTGAGATCCACAATATTTTCCTACTAATTCTCAGAATCCTGCTTTCCCACAGGTTTCTTGCTCTTTCCGGTGATTTTCCTTGTTTGTTGAGTAATGAGGTCAAAATGAGAAGAGATATGGGAAATATTTATTTTGGGGGTGGCTAAATTTGCTGGTGAAAGCGTAGGAGAAAATCTGAAATGTTTGGATGAGTCTCACTTTCCCCGCAGCAAAATCTATTTCATTTCTCTGGTAAGGAAAATTGCTCGAGGAGAAAGAAAGGTTATACAAGTTTGGATCATGAATTGAGCAAACACTCGAACCAAATAAAAGTTAAAATCACTTCACGAAAACACAAACACATTTCGAACCTGGTTTTCATTCATGGAAATCCTAACTGTTGTTTTATCATTGAACTTATCAGCATATTTCTATGAAAAAACGATTGTTATCTCCTTTTGTAGTAATATTTCACTGAAATGGCATCTCCTGAAATGGTGGTGACAGCAAGTTTTATACACATTTTAATACGGAAAGATTTCATGTTTGCTGGTTTTAGACGGTGATCATGACGAACAATCCGATCTCGGTGTTCCCTCTGGGCATTTTTGCACTCCGGTCGCTGTCCTGGCTGGTCTTTTCGGGCTGTGGGATTGAAAATGTCCCAAACTTGTATCCTCGGGGAACCGCGGCAACCCAGCTAAATCAACTGGACATTTCACACAATCTGATCCAGGTAAGTTTTGCTCTCTCGTGGGAACCGACTGAGTAGGTGGATACAGCCGACTGCGTAATTGGCGAGGGAGCATGTTCACTTAAAATTGAAATTTTATGTGGGAAATCACAAGATTAAAGCGACCCAACCCGCCCACTCACAAACTTGCTTCCTTCCTTCCTTCCTGCTCTCATGTGCCGTCATAATATCCAGCCTTTCCCCTCTAATAATAATCCCAATGACAGGAATAAAGATAAAAATTGAGCTTCTGTCTCTCCCCTCGCCCACATTTCCTGCATATCATCATCATCTTTGTCATCTCCACAGCACTGGCCAAATCGACCGTTTGCCAGCCAACTCAAGATTTTGGATTTGGATGTGAGCAAAAATTACATTGTGGCGTTACCATCTGGTGCTTTCCATTCGATGAATGCATTCCGAATATCATTTGGGCACAACCGCCTCGCAACTATTGATCCCATGGCATTCGACACACTTGGTCCGACTCTTCAGTATCTGAATCTGGACAACAATCGGTTGGAGGGCGTGCCCTGGGTGGAGATTGGCAATCTCACTTCACTCAAACATCTCTATTTGGGGAATAATCTAATCCGGGATGAATCACTCGAGAAAGGGAAAGACATGGAGTTTGGTGAGCAATAATTAACCTGTGCGAATTCCCATCAATCCGACGCACACGGAGATAAATCCACTCTTTAATTTATTACAGACTGCAGTAATCTACAATACTTTGGACTAAATGGGAACGGTCTCACACGGCTTCCTCGTCGCATCCTAAAGTAAGTCGACACACAATGTGTGTAGAGATACATACATACATAGAAAAGCTGCTAGGAATTTATCTCCATTTTTAACCACTCTAAACTCCCACAGCTCATGCATCTCTCTAATTCACCTCAACTTGGGCTACAACCAGATCGGAAACTTGGATGAACTTGTGACCCGAAAGTTCAAAATGCTCTCCACCCTCATCCTGCGTAACAATCCGATCCACTCCCTCTCCTTTGAAGGCAACAGCAAGCCGGCCTATCATCATTTTTTCCACGACGACAAAAACAATCCCACTCCCACCCTCCCATCAGCCTCCATTCTCAACCCGAACGAAGTTGTTCTTCACGGGCAACAATTTCATAAATCGCTGGATAAAATTCCAAACGTATTTCGTCCCGAGTCGTTTCCTCGCCTGTTTGAACTTTCTCTCTCATTTTGCGAGCTGAGCGGAGAACTCGCCCCGTTCCCCGCACTTGCTTTAACTAACCTCGAAATCAGCAATGGGCTCAAGAGTGCGACATCCATTAAGGCCGAGTCCTTCCAAGCACTTAGAGAGCTCGAGTGGATCGCATTGGATAATAACCAAATAGTGAATGTCAGGTGAGAAAAAGTGGTGTCTTTCTGAATAAAAGTTATCGCTCAAGTTATTTTTTATGTAATCGCGAAATGAAATGAGAGACGTGGCGGTGGTGGTGGTTGGAATGCGTTGGTGAAAGTGTGGCTTTCACCACCTTTCACTTCTTCGGTGTGACAACTGCTGCTGCTCCGTTTCCTTGTGGACGGACACATTCTTTTACTTAACCATGACCAGCTTGGGTAGTATTTTAGTCTCATAGCTCATAGTTTAGTTTATAGTTGGGGAAAGTTTTCCCATGGAGGCTCCTGCTGGACGGGTAAACTTTTCCCCTTCACAGATTCTTTTTCACACTTGTGAGAACTTGGAACACTTCTTTATTCCCGCATTCTGTCCTCTTTTCCACATTTTATTATTGCTATTGGATCGGTGGTGGTCCATTCACCGGGAGGGCACACGAGCTATCTTTTCCTCGTAATGGATGACACTGCGAGAGACGGGCCGGGTCAGTGTAATGGGAAAAATTATATTATTTTTGGGCGAATTCTTTTCCTCCTCACATAAAATAATGATATGGCTGTACATACGTACGTGTGTGGCTAACTGAATGTGGTAGATTTTCTACTCCCATCCATTTATCAAGTTTGCTTATCAATCTTCCTCCTTTTATTCAGCGAGTACACCTTCTACTCCAACAAGAACATAACCTACGTCAATCTCGAGTTTAACCGGATATCGGTCCTGCCACGGCAGATGTTTCACCCGGACATTCACCACTCGATGAGAGAATTACGATTTTCTCACAACAAGATTCAAACTATCGGGTCGGATTCATTCCTCTCTTTTCCGGTGGGAAATATGGACCAATCTTTTCAGACCACTATCGACCTAAGGTATTTATTACTTCATTAACTTATGTACATGCTATAAAAACGTTTATGAAAACGTATGGCACCACTTTTTCAGCTACAATACCATCCATACAATTGAACGCCACGCATTCACAGTCCCACCCCCGTCGCCAATTTCGCTCGCAGTTTCGGCGACAAATTCAAAAATATTCTCAAGAAGTGAAGGACTCAATTTGTTTTTGAGACACAATCGCATCACAACCGTTCGCAGTGGGGCTTTCTCCCAGGAAAAGTTTGCCCTGGTCGATATCGCCTTCAATCTACTGACCCACTTCAATTTCGATACTTTTGGAAAGAAATGTCTCGTCGGAGGTGTGAACATTAGCCACAATTCGATCGAGCGGATAAACAGTCATGGTGGGAGACGTCTGCTGATTAAATTCCTCGACGCATCGCACAACAAGCTGAGTTACGAGGGGGTCAAGATCCGCACGGTGTGTCCAAAAGAGCTACTGGATCTCAGCTTCAACCGAATTGAACGCGTGGATGGAGACCTCTTCCCGACCAATTGTTCCATTAAGGTGAGTAGATACCAGACATAATTACGTTCATGATAAAAATTTCAATTATGAAAATGTCTCATAAAAGGGAGCGGATTTTAAATCCACTCTCGAAAATTGTCTAAGCCCAGCCTGCTCCGCATGCTTTCCTTTGTTTCATAATACCACACACTTGTCATGAAATCTCTCCATCTCAAAATTGCATTTGAAAGCTTAAGTCGAAAACCTTTTTGCGACTATTTAACCCCGCGGCGGTGGAAACAGAGTGAAAATTTTAGCCTCCACACGAGTAAGTAATTCCATGTGCCAAACAGTGAAAATATACATACGACCAACTCCGCCTTTTGCTTTTATTCCTTCTCACATCCAGCCCAACCTCATAGCAGGAGAGAAAAAAAGAATCAGGCAATGTTACTGCACAGCCAAACCAATTCAGCGTATCTAGCAGTGGAGATGTGAAGTTGAGATATTTGTGAACTTTGGTGAAGAACAGAGATACTCCTCAGAGTAAAGTTTTTGTGTTATTGGTTGAATAGTGCGAGTTAGTGAACTAATGGATTCATGATTTATTCATGATTCCAGCTGCTACACACATGCACATAACACACTTCCCTCCGTGGCGCAGTAGTTCATATATTACACTTTTACTACCGATAGCCCACCAGGGAGGAACTTTAAGGATAAGCTCAAACTCTCGTACATGCATACGAACGAAGCATGGCCAAATCCACATTTAAGCTGCCCACTAGTCTTGCATCCTGCTGCTTTGCAATGTTAATTAGTAGATATTTACATAGTGGATACTAAAGCAGGCCCTGGACTGGGGAGAGAAAGTTAGTTACGTATGGTACAGATTGGTCATTCAGTCATAGAGCAAAAATCGTGTCGGACATTCATGTCGGGTTGCGAAAACACATGCATGACACATTTTTGACCTCATCGGGGACCTTTTCATGTTTGGCTTGGCAATATATTCGTCAACATGAGTGACACGAATAATGTAGTTACACAATATTTCACACATAATTTTGTTTTCCTTTTTCCATTACTTTTTAAAGCCTAAGTTCTAGCATCAAAAACCAACTTGCTAATGCTGATCGAATTATGCATTCCTACTTTAACGGTTACATCAGCATTCATTGTTATAGCTCATTCTACCGATGGAGAGAGAGAGAATAACGTAACGTGGAACTTAGTGTCGACCTATCTGCTAAATTCACCCCTGCTCTCGTTCACATAGTTGCGGTTATTGTGTGTGCCTTCCCCCAAATAAATTCATGGATGAATAAAGTACAAAGAGTTCACGGACGGTGAACTCGTTATGATTAGCAAAACCATACACAATTCTACCCTCTATTTTACGTGATAATGCAAAAGGACAGAAATGGCGCAGGCATTGGTCCAGTGCGTAATGAGATCATAGTTCCATGAGTAATATGCAATTGGCGCAGCCATGCATATACCGCACAAACCAATATGTGTACTCACCGCCGTGCCGTGTGTACCTATACTTTCACTAATACAACCAACCATTGTATGTGTTTGCCATGCGACTGACCATGTTTCATTACATTACTCGTCCCGTAAATTTCACATGGCATCACTTCAACCACCGATGAGCCCGAGTTGGGCTTCCTACAGACTGGACATCATCATCATTACTGAATAGTGAATGAATGAATCAGGAGGAGAAAGTCAGCCCAAGCGAAAATCCAAAGCGCTTTCACAAGCTAAATTTATTTTCATGGTTCACTTGTAATTTAAAATCATTTCGATTTATTCATTCCCCTCGTCGTCGTCCATCCTCCGAAATTGGTCAGATGAATCTGCTCTCCACATACATAGCTCTACGCAACATTGTCCATTATTCCCGGACAAATTTAATTCTGAATGAACCCTGGAACAATTGAGAGCCATCCTGCATGCGAGCAGGGCACAATGTCCGTGTGGGTGGAAACATGACAGCGATAGAGGAATCAGTGATATGGAAGGAAATCTAAAACTGGAAAATCAGAATGACGATGATGCAATGTATCTGTAAAAGTGCAGAGAAAGAGCGATCCAGCGTCCTACTCCCTCACGAACCAAAACGGCATTATTATTAGTGTGATGATTATTATTCAATGTTCAATCCTGAAGTTGCTTTTCTGCCCGAAAAATAACCCTATTTCGAGACTCATATGTATACGAAGGGAGGAAAATGATGAAAGTTATTTACCGTGTTATTTCCAGGTAGTGAATCTGAATAGTAACAAGATTGCCAGCCTGGACCCTGACGCTTTCTCGCAACTAAAGGACTTGACGGTATGTCTGCATATATACTTGTACTAATGATACTGCAAATAGGGATGGCTCCCTTACTACGAAATTATTTAACCACACAGCACCAATAGAATTTCTCTGAGAGAGGAGTTCAAAATATTAAAAGTTTTATATCCAGCCAAACTCATAACGCATAATTCTGCACATCCCATCATGACTGACACATTTCACTCTGTCTTATTTCAACTTTTTGGAGGAAAATCCCCAACTAAATTCTAAATAACGTATGTATTCACCCATCCAAAATCCGAATCCAATCCAAATCCGAAATATAAAAGTTACGTATGTACAAGGATTTTTTTTTCCTCCAAGTTTCTTAAAATATATACTCCTCGTAGAAAAAAGTTGCTCAAATGAACTGATCGTTAGAGAGAAAAAAAAAGTTTTATATAACGTCAAAAGTTCAAGTGAATCGAGTCAAATCAAATTTTTATAGAAATCGAGGGTTAAACTTTTTAAATTGGTGTGGAAATCCGTGTACCGCGAAAGTGATAAAAAATGTTTTTGTGCTTTCCATAATTTTGTAAGAATAAATAATCTATCCTACTTTTCCAGGCGCTTTATTTAAAGGGGAATCTGATCTCCTACGTGCCCGAGATATTATTCATTCGTAACCACAAACTGACACATTTGGACCTTGCCGAGAACAAGATTCGTTCCCTGCCACGCGATTCGCTGGTGGGAAGCAACATTGAAATTCTTCACTTATCTTCAAATCAGTTTGTCAGCATACCCGTCGGCTCTCTGGCGCAGGTGAGTGCACAAATTTGTAGTGGCCATGTTTTTACCAGTAATTATTGATCTCTCTTCTTCTCCCATACGTAAAGGGATACATACATACACTTCCTCTCTTGTTGTTGTTGCCGGTTGTGTGTAAAATTTCATGTCAAAATCCTGACAGAAGTGCTACACGTAGCCTTCTCTCTCTCCAAATCCCACCGGGATGCATTCACATAACGACAAGAGAGAGAGAGACAGAGAGATATGATATCCCGACCGGCTCAAATTCATCCTCGACGTACATCACAAAGCATAAGCTCGTTTCATAATAACTTTCAGATCTCTCGCCGACTTAAAATACTGGACATTTCAGGAAATGCTTTGGAACATCTGGACAGCACAATGTTTGAATCCATTCCAGGCTTGGTTCACTTAAACTTGTCCTCAAACAGACTTTCCATACTTCCTGGTTCGTTGTGATATAAACGCGCCTACTTAAAAGTTGGTGAATATCTATAAGTTTATATGTATATACTTTCCAGATAACGCTTTTGCAAATCTGGCCTCGCTGCGGGAGCTGGATCTCTCCCACAACTATCTCCGGGCCAATTTTAAGGTAAAAGCCACACAGGGGAGTTTTTTCACCAGGGAATCACCATCATCTAAAGCAACAGAGTTAGTGAAAGCACTTTTGGGAATGCATTAGAAAAGAAAGATTGTATCCCCATGTGTTGAAAGTCTCATAATACGCCAACTTTTTGTTTTTCTTCATAAGCACAAAGATTGTCTGATATCATGTCTGATTCCCAGGCTCGGTTAATCTCAGCCAGTCAAAATTTCTCAACTTTTGAAGCATTGCAGTATGATTTCGAAATTAGGAGAAATATTTAATACGAAATCTCTCTTTCACAATAATTTAGGAGCTGTTTCACTTTGTCCCAAAACTCAAACTTTTGCGAATTTGCGATTGTGGGATTACAACGCTTCCTCACTTGCCATTGCCACATTTGAGGTAAATTGAACTAGTTTTTAGCGTATGTACATGTATCGAAAATACACGACTGAATAAGTACATATGTCCAATCTTATGTAATTTTTGTCTCCAGCACCCTCGACCTCTCAAGGAATGGTCTGACTGAAATCAGCACGCAAAGTCTAACCTCACTTAATAGACTTCGCTCACTCGACCTGTCACATAATCTTCTCCAAAACTCTCGATTGCCTAATTGGACTCCACTTTCAAACCTCGTTAAGCTCAAATTGTCCAACAATCCCGTTAAAAGGTTTGTTTTTCTTCATCATTACACAAATTTATAAGAAATTGGGGCGACTTCTTGGAAAAGCCTTCTTCAAAATGAAACCCTTGTTTTTGTTATGTCTACAAATAAGTATGTATCATGCTAAAAAATTCCCTCTGACTGAAAAGTCGGACTCTTCATCTTTCTGAAAGATGTACCAGCATGAGGACTGAGGACGAAGAGCGCTGCATACATATTGCTCGAGAATTCCCTTTGATCCGTAGTCTTTTATATAACATTCTCTCTTTTCCGTCTCACTTTAGTTTAACACGTGACACATTTTTCGGGCTGAGTCGATTGGAGAGTTTGGAGATGCTGGACCTCGACCGTGTGGATCGATTTGATTCTGATGTGCTTTCCAACCTAATGAACCTAAAGCAACTTTCTGTCGAAACGTACCCCAACATTGAGAAATACCGTTTCAGACTGGGTAAGTAATAGCCAAATTCAATTACGATTTAGAACAAGTCATCGGATTTTTTAGATCTCTCTCTCACTCCTTCTCTCACTTTGAAGAAGAAGCTCAAATAAATGCGACATGTGCCACCTTTGACTTTGACTTTTGGCTAGAACCTCGAAATCCTTTTTTTCTATTTCTCTGCTCTGCTCTGGTCTGGTGGCTATCTTTTAAAGTCAAGAGTGACCAAATCAAGAGTTTGTTCTACAAATTTACTCCTGGGCACTCTCTCCTCCTGCAAAATTGAGTGAAACGGCTACAAATTGAAAATCCATCCGAGTTGTTTCATTAAAAAACTGCTCAGAATTGAATTATTCACGGCACAGTAGGCATCGAGTTTAACCTGAGTCATCATCTCTTCATTTCATGACAGGAGCTGTCCTCTCCGGAATCGGGAGTTTGGAGGAGTTACACGTGCAAATCAAGGAGTCGACCCTCTCTGACCAATTATTCGGAGGAATTTTACCCGGCCTGAGAAAACTGAGGGTGACGGGTAACAACTTGCGTCGGATTGAGGAGCAGGCTTTCGAAGGTCTTCAGAACTGTCTGCACATGGAGTTGACGATCAGCGGTACGTCGGTGGAGGAAATCCCATCAAGAATCTTTGAACTTCTCCTCAACGCACAGTGGGCCAAGCTGGACTTGTCCTTTAATAAAATTTCCACCCTCAACTCTGCCAGTTTGTATCCCAACTCGTCATTCTGGTTCTCCAAAGGAACTAAGCTCCTCCAAGGTAAGAATCTGCTTCTCAGACCGTCTCTCCTAAGGTAATTACGATAATGGACCCGTTGCAATTTCTTCCCGTGCTGAGGTAGGATAACCTAAAAGTCGTTGGAATGGTGGCACGGGAATCTGTACATGTCTCTACTATTACATGATCCAGTCGGCCCACTGCTCTTGCCAGCTACTAAATTGATTAAATTAGATAATCTTTTCAATACCTTGCCCACCACCAAAAACTACTCGAGGGGAATTTCATGCAGTTCACTTAGTAAATAAATCCTAAATAGTGGCGAACTTCTTCACATACAATGCAAGTCACTTTTGTGTCTTCTTCTCCACTGCAACTTCCAATGGCGATGGTATTCAAGCTTCTATTCAACAAATATTCCCCTCTATCTACTAGCATTACACGACTTATGTACCAAGTCCTCAATAATACCAATCGTGTAGCAGACATGAGATAATTATCCCGTTGGGACCCTGCATAAACCACGTGTCCAAGTTTTGCCCTATTTTTACTCTCAATTTTCCTGATCATCTACCGTACCAGTTTTATTGTGGGAGCTTAATTTTAGGACGGCTACACTGTCGAATTGATCGCACCATGCTTTATGCACGACCCTTTGCAAACCACACGGTGAACTAACTAAGCTAAATAAAACCATGAGTGAATTGCCCACATGAAGTTAACGTGTGTTCACCTTTGCACAAGTGTTTTTACGGCTTTGGTTTACAACCCGTAAGTGTGTGCCTGCATGTGAATTACTTTCTCCAGTTCCCGTGTTGGGTTTCGAGTGTGAGTCAATTAGGTGAAAGTGCGAAAGGTTTCTAGTTTTACAAGTTTGACGGCAAAAGTTTTGAGGGGGGACCGTTGGGGCAGTAAAGTTAAGGTTTGATTCAGTTGGAAAAAGTGTCTATGGCGAGAGTACAGTTTTGGTGTCGATGGGATATTGAGACATCTCAACTTCCTCCCAATTAGAAAGTAGTGACCACTCCTTACAGTACTTGATGTGTAGCTGACTAAAATATGTTACTTTTATTTCAGGTGGATTAGTCCTTACCGGAAATGACATGCAGTGCGACTGCAATTTAGGTAATTGCGCATTTGTCCCCCGTAAACATCATTTTCACATAGAATATGTATGTATGTATCATTACATAAATATTCGCAATAATCCCACAGTTTGGCTTGGTGACTGGTTGCGTCGTTGGTTACGCGAATCTTTCGAGTCTCATTCTGCCCTAATTCCTGAAGTCCACGCCATGTACGAAGTAATCAGTGAGACGACCTGCCTCGACTCCAGATATTCTGCAAACACCAAGATTCCACTCGTCCGGCTGTACCCCGACCACATCTGCCATGCCTCCGCCCTCTCGGCCGCTAACTCACTTAAGTACTTTAATTTCCTCACCTTCTTCCTCATTATCCAGCTCCTCATAGTCTCCTGACAAGGTAGAGGACAACTTATCACCTAATCATGGCTATGGCGTCGAGAGGAGAGCGGTGTCTTGCAGTGCGGCGAATCTGGAATTCTGCTCACTTTCACTTTACGTTGTATACGGTATTTCGCTAGATGTACGTAATAATATCATGAAAATAACAGATATGTGACTATTTTTCTTATTCAAACATAACATACATATCGGTGTATTGATCGTGGTGAACAGACTTAAATAAACTATAAACCAAATAATCAAAACTTAACACTTGTCATAATTTGTAAAGGGAAACATTACTTTTTTATTATTGATGTTCATGTTCATGATTAATAACAAGTTACTAATTAACACCTATTTGACAATGTCGCTGATGGCTTATCGTTCATATGGCGGCGATAACCGCTTTAGGATTACACATGTCAAGAATTTTTCAGCTGCCACTGCTCCAGACACCATTCTGAGGCTAAACCTTTAGTACGCCCCTGAAATTTTAAGTTATCCAAGGTATCGCACTTCTACGACCAAAATGAACTCACCGTGTGTGCCTGGAACGTTATTACATATCAATTTATGGCTTCCATTTTATCTCTAAATGTGCCTTTCTATCTCCACTTGCTACATACACGGACCGTACCCAAACCTCCCACACATTTACTGAAATCCACTAACAAAAGGGAAGCGAGAAAGTTGCAAAGTTCTACCCGCGTCCTCTCCCAGTCTCCGTAATGCCACTACATGAACCAAATGCTGACCATGGGATTTTGAGAAATCAAGGGTTAACCGAGGCAAAGTTGCTACACCCGAGAGAGCAGAGTACTACATACGCAGTAGAGAAAGTGAAAGTAAGTAACCCAACGTACAGCCACCCAACAGATTGAACAACTGGGCAGAACTAATCAGCATGAACACAAACCTCGTAGTCGGAGGAGGATTGGGGGCTAGATTGTGAAGTGTATCTGCTCTATCGCTCCGTACTCTTACTTTCACTCGTGCTTCTTCACCAAGCAATTCAATTCAATCCACTCTCCACGTATCTCACTGTCTTTTCTTAGCTCACCGTCCTCCTCGTGACCTTCGTCGCTACCTGAAGTGGAAGAATAGCTTTTAATCTGAGAATGAAAATTCACCACCACTCACTCTCATTCAGAGTGGAGAAAGTTTTACAATCAGGTTCATTCCCAATTTTGTGCATTTATAGTAAACCAGTCTAAATTTAAAGTTGTCCCATGAACCACTTTCTCATTTTGTGGTTGGTGATCATGGGAGGTTTCTGCATACCCAGGTTTGATTGATAGGAGAGAGAACAAACCCAACCACCACCACCACACCCACCAGGACTACCACCAATGTGGTAGTTCTGCATTACTTACATATTTCTTTCTGTCTTGTACACCAGTACAGCTAGTTTTTACCAACAGAGTCTCTTCCTTAATATAAAAAATGGGGAATACACCAAAAACGCAATCTTCCCCGGGTTTCTCCTTAATAACGGAGAAAAATACGAGTACTTTTCCCTCACTTTAATCGGCTGGTGACAGTGAAAGTAATCTTTTTTGTTCAATCCTCCCCTTTTTTTACCCCACCAAAACCATACCACATATCACATCATAGCATCCTCCATTATATTCAAGGAGAGGACAGGAGTAAAGGATGAAATGCAAAAAAGGAAGTGAAAGCAACAATTAAATTTCCCTTTTCTCTCCATCTCCTCGACTCTCCCTTTCCTCGATGTCACAAACAATCTTACCTTGTTGAGATGCAGTTTATAGTGGATGTATGTATGTAAATGTATATTGTTACTGACTGCCGGATCAATACTTAAGTATATTACAACACGGGACACAACTTTGCTATTTAGACTCCTACGCGAACTTTCTCTTTTGCTCTTCCGCCACTGCTCTGAGGAAGAATTGTTTCCGAAACCGTTTACCTAAAATCTTGAGACAAATGTAGTCACAAAACCACCTCGGCGTATATTCTTCACCTAAACTATATATTTACAGGAAGCAACAAATAATCCGACGGAAAATTGTCCATTTCTCAGCACGTAGGTTGGATGAAAGTGATAACCTTTTCTTTCATAAAGTTCTTATAATGCACCTTTTTCTCTATCCATGCATCCAAACCCTACAACCTACTTGAAGGATGGAAAGATTTGCATCAGGAAAAGTAAACATTCACATGACACACAAAAGGGTATTGCAGTCCTTCACAAGAAAGACGAAGGAAATGCTGACTACGATACTTTTGGTGTTGTTCTACCGACTGGTAAACTCTGAACGAGAGAGCGAATAGCTTTTTGAAAATTCAATTTTAAAAAAGTGTCCTAAACCTTTATAAACATTATTGGATATCCCGCTCTAAATTGACTAGATAATGCGCCCACTCTACTTTTCCTCGCTCCACTCTCAGGGTTTGGGTGGCTTTTATATTTTTGTGAGAATATTGTGCACGAAAATAAGATAAGTAAATGTATTTACTCCCGAGAAAGGAGGCTCATGCATGATGATATAAACGGGCATGTACTTTGTTAAATCAGGGGGATGCACACACATAAATCTTTCTTCTTGATATAATCTGCTCCTCTTTTTGGAGAGAAAGTCTTTAAATTATTTAAACTCTAAACGACGTCAATCATTGTTTTAAATTTTAAAGTGTTTCTATAATAAATGATGACGAAACTTGATAATCATCGTTATGTTTGAAGAGAACAGGATGAGCAGAGTTTAGTGTACATAAATCTTATCGTGTACAGAGAACAATATTTATGTACAAGTAGATAAGTCACTGCTGAGGCACATGCATACTTATTTATGTAACTATCTCATTTCGATGAAGCATGAAATGTTAAGTCAACTTGATGGACATAAAGGAGGAGGAGACCAAGAGAAATATTGCAATATGTACTTTGAGGTTACGGGGTAGAATTCAGTGCAAATTTTATTGCCCATTGTCTCCATGTCGACTGTGGTATATTTCCACTTCGTCCTGGTTGCCCTTTCCGTTTTTGATCTCTAGGAGTAGCATTTCTAGAACGCCCACTAGAATTGCTTACGAAGAAAAGAACGAGCATGATCTTGGGTTCTTTGTCAATTTCTAAGGGACAATATGCATCTTTATAATCGCCCGGTAAGTGCATTTGTTTAATAAATATCGTTACATCAGACGCGAGGTTACATAAATAAATGGACGGATTATTTCTTTTGTAATGTATCTATATCTTGCAAAATGACAGATCAATAATCGCTAAAAAATATTGACAAATATACCACATGTAACGCTATCTCTTCTTTAAATAAAGTATGTCTGGTTCAATCTTCGTCTCTGGAGGTTTAGATTTCTGTAGACTAACCTATATTAGCCCAATTCCATTCAAAATTTCAAGATGTGATTCAATGTTTACGCAATATTTCCCAACCTTGAGATAATGCAGTTTGAGAATGACGGAGCAAATCGTATCATTAAATTTGTCTCATAGTAGTTTTAAAATAAACATATCGCGAAAACACAGGACCGAAATATCATATTTAGTCTGACAATTTCCACCTCAACAGAGAATTCTACAACTTTGATGCAGTATTTCGATCACTCCACTGCAATGGAGGGCACAAATAAAGCTCAATTTCTTATTAATCTTTATCCAACTCACAATATCCCATTCCATTCGTGTGGAGTAACTGCCTTTAAAATTTTAATGGTCACATTACTCACTTTAATGGCTACCTGCTAATCAACTTCACAAACGATAAGCACCAGAAGGACTAACTTCTCACGATGCCGTGAAATTTTGGGAAATGTAAATTTTAATTTATTGTCCTTCTCTCAACTTCCACCAAATTTGGATGAAGAAGATTTGACGAATAATTTGCCCCGTTCTACCCAAGGATGACGAATGAGGATGGATAAAATAATCATAAACCTGCAAGTCCCCTCGTCTTCCAAGCCTTCTGCTTTCCTTGCTCTGTTCACTCCCAACTTAATTCGACAATAAATGTTAACGAGGAGAATTTGTGGGGTGGATGCAGCACGTGGATCGTACTCTGAGAGATTGGGTTGGTGTAGGTTGTGAATGAATATCTATCTACATATGTACGTGTCTATGTATCTGGTCCGGAAGCAAAGGTGGAAAAAGTTAATTAAAGACCGGGATAGAATAATAAATAAATAAATGGATGAAAGAGTAAGACATGCAAGCAAGCAAGTATTCACGAATTTAGTTGTCTCCTTATCAGGCAACGTGTAACAATGTTCACTTTGCTTAAGGGCAAATGGGGGTTGTTACGGTTAAGGAACAATGCCACGCTCGTGTTCTGTGCTCTTGTTTGACAATTAGGCTACAGGAGAACGATACAAGAGCTGTAAATTTCGGATGTCATGTCGTAACGAATAGTAGCGCTGGGAGAAAGTAAATTGATCTGCAAGTTCTTTCCGGTCAGATATGTGTACAGTTTTTCTTGAACTGTTTTTTTTTTGCTCGTGTGTTTGATACATAATGCTTAAGGAACAAATTAAATGATATAAAGGCTAATAATAGATTATTTGTAAGAGGTGGACTGTAAATAATTTCGCGAACTTTTAATACTTTTAGCCCAACCTGAGGTTGCTTGTTCTTAACAAATTTAAAAAGTGTTGTCACTCTATTAAATGGACTCACACTGATAAAAACGTGTTTTTTATCAAATGAATTACTTACAGCGTGTCACATAAGTACCTATAACTTGTCCCCAATAAATCAATAACCACCACTTCATACGTTCCTACGACCACTTTCCTGTTAGAATAGGTATGAAATATACATATGTACCACTGCATCGAATCGTTCTCACGTCGTGGGAAATATTCAAACCACGGAATGAGTTCCACTCATTCCGGAACTGTGGAACTGGAACTGTGAATGAGTCGAAGACCAGTTAATGGTTAACCAATAAACAGAATGCGGACTGGTACCATATTGTACATAGGTAATAATGTAACATAATATAAATATGTAGGTGAGAATAGGTGCAACATTTAGAGCGATGCATTCGATTCGATTCCACTTTTGCATTTTAAAGGCGAACACGTTTCATAGGGGTTGATCGACACAAATTTTGCATTAGGATGTCGACCAATCAATCCTGGACTATATTTCCACAAATTCTAGCTAGTAATTCCGTGATGATAAATATGTGCTTCTTTATATACATACGAATATATACCAATTTAGGTAATTAGTAGGCACAACAGGTTATTAGTAGTATACTGATCTTAAGAGGGAATTACAAC